CAGCAACTTTCCATTTGTCGGGTCACTGAAGTCGACATCTACAACTGACATACCACATAACTGCACGATTAACTTCCCGAACTTCGAGGGCCAGTATGTCACAGAGTTAGCTACTGTGATTCCTTACGATCTTGCTACGGCACGGAAAGTGCAAAAACGAATAATTGCACCGGCCCGCGTGGTGCGTTCCAGCCTGGATTAAACTATTTTGTAACAATAACAAAAAAAAGCGGAATTAGTTTATGCCTAGAAACTAACTCACCCCTCAGAGGAATTCGAGGTGTGCGCGGAACAAAAAACGACGGTTCATCATGCTCCAGTCGACTCTCCTCAGACAGCGCCCGGGTCGGTCTTTTGAGGTTTCCGATCTAACCAATTTCCGAGGCATTCCGCTCGAATCAGCTCTCCAAAGTTTCCGTTCTAAGTGATTTCTACAGCATTTTATTCGAAACAACTCTCAATTCCTTGCTACTTCGATTTTTAGCCCTGCCACAAACGTAGCTGCCTATACAGTGGCTGAATAGTTTACTGCGCTGAACAGTTCCCCGTGTTTCACCACTTTCAAATAGTGAAATTTATAAAAGGGAAAACGATCACTCGGACTGGCACCTGCTAACTGCTACTCATATGCCATGAATCCGAGTAATTAAGCCAGAAAAGAATGCGTTTCAAAACTGTGCCCGTCATGTGGTGCACAAATAACGTTAGCAAAACCGGATACAGCTGCACAGGACGAGCAGATCCATCTCAGTGACAATGATAATCATCGTTGAAAGAGACAACCCGAAAAATGTTACTGGTGGCAAAGGGCTCGACTGCGGGAGAAGGGGTAAATTTCCACAACATCCGTAAAAAGTCGCTACTTCATCATTTCGCCGAAACTTCCGCTAATTTCCAATTTTGACATGTGTTCCCCGAGTCCTCCTTCATCTGCTTAACATGTCATTTTGCTCTCTTAATGCGATGCATCTTCTGTGAAAGGCAGGGATCGCTGTTACCGCCCACTATGATTTATTTTAATATATAATCTGCTGCCGAAATCCCGCTAACGATCACTGGAAACAAACTTGAGTAAACTTGCTGCAACTCGCAAAATGCCCAATTGTATTGATAACCGTATGAAGATAACTCTTCATACGCGATTGCTCCGTTGTTAACTTGGATGAGGGCAATTCCACCACCGCTGCAACAACCTTTTCCACCTGTGTTACCATTGTGGAGAAAATATAAACCAGGCGCAAACACAATTCACTGTCTTCCATACATTTCTGCAAAACTGCCAACGATATTACATTTCTGCCACGGAAAAGTATTTACCTCTTGGCCAGTAAAACTATGCGGACACGGTGCGCGTTGGCAACAAAGTCCCAAATAGCGTGTAGCATAGTCAAATTAGAAGCGGCACACGTATGTGACAGAAATCTCTTGAAAACTTCGACCAAGCTAAGCACAGTTTACTGATGGTGAAGTGTCCTCAGGGCCACTCGCGTTACGAACATAGCAAAGCTCTGCTGCGAAATTCAAACAGTTCTAAAATTAAGCTGATTTGATAGCTATCAGCTGCAACTAACTGCAGCATGTCGCACAGCAGTGGAGCCCACTGGCAACACTGGCAATCGTTGAAACTCGCAGGAATGATTGTGAGTCAGTGATCCACTAGAGTCGCAAATAAGTCTTTCCGCCTCATACAAAGAGTGGAAACTGCGGATCCCGGCAAATGGGTTGCATTGTGTTTCGTTACACTTTGAAATCAGACTGAGTGATGGACAAAGTCGAATTAATCAACTATTTTACGTACCAATCCAAATAACAATCATGAGAAAGTAGTGACAATTCAAAATAAAATAACAAACACATACCTGGGCTTCAACTAAATCCCATTTCGACAAGAGTGTCCAGAACTGAATCATCGATGCTGTAAGCAGAAACGCGACACTAAAATCCTGAGACTGACTTATATCTCTGAATTCCATTCGAAGCAGAGGAACCGAAGCGTTCAGAATTATCGTATATATTCGTGTAGCCATATGTCGGATAACCGATTGCACCATGCTACTGAAAAAAAGTGATTTAAAATCTTCCATTAAATTCTGCCGTTCTTGGCAACTGAGAAACTCTCAGCAAAGACCTAGAGTCCAATCAATCGCCAGGGGTACTTGTGCTTAATAAAGTACCTAAACCAATTACTGCACTAGCAGCACAGACCGTTTATTTTTATATTGCTTGCATAATACAAAGAGCTTATTTTTTCAGCTTATTTAAAATTGCAGCAATAAAAAATATACATTTCATGAAACTTACGGATTCATTGGGGAATTTCCGGTTAGCAATTCATCAGCTTCGCTTCCCCTGAAAAATCAAATCACTGTTAGATTTTTTTGCTTTCAAGAGGAGTTATAAAAAATTTTTGCTAACTGTGAAAACTGCTAAGCACTTTTCAGAAAGTCGTGACTAACAACATGTAAGAGGTGGAGGAAACCTAAAGTTTAAGGCACTGACTCTCCGAAACACTGAAAAGCCATGAAATATCTTTTCAGTACACGTGTATCCACCTGATCTACAGCAAGCTAATTGAAGAAAAGTAATTGCTGTGTCCATCTAAATGGAAAGTAACTGTTCTGTTTCAGGATTCTCCCTATAAAGATTTATCATATGAACAGAATAATAAAAAAGAAGATAAGGAATCAGACCGTGCTGAAGAAGTATCTAATAAAATTTTTTTCGTAAAAAATAAAATTTTATTAGATACTTCTCAATTCACCTCCCATCAACCTTTGCAGTGACTGACCAGTGTAATTTAAATACTCACTCCAAAATGACAATTTTTTCCACTTCAACCTCATTTACAATATCTATCCTGTAAAAAACAAAACTGACATATGCACTTCTCCTTCCCCGTCAATCTGTGTGCAGCTTCCTTCCCAATTACAACTACTGCTCAAAAGATCACTTTTGGCAAAAGAAAAATATTTTATATTCCAATAAAAGGACTTTAAAGAATCGCCTATTTGTTAAAAGTCTGACGAAACCGGTGTCTGAAATTCTCTACTGGTAACACAGAACACATTTTAAAAAAAAAAATAGCGTAGAAAGCGACCTTTTTCTGCGCTCCAGTTCATAAATTAGTTTGCCACTTTGCTCCATAACCTCTGTATATACATTAATTGGCAGTATGACCATCTCTGAGTCTAACTGAATCCCCCATGGTAGGTTTGCATTCCAACCGCTGTAGTCTATCATAGCCAACAGCAGATCGACCTGTCCATTCAACTCCATCAAACTGCAAAAACAATTTCTCGCTGATAACTGAGATCCTGGCGCAGTACGCTTCTCTCTGCATCGTTTCCTTCTCTCCGAATGTGTGAACATAAATTAGTGCGACGGTAAACTAAACTTTTTACAATCGCCCGTTTTACTCACAGTTCGCTTTTCTCTTATAGCTGGGAAATGCTAGCTATACTGTTAATATTATTATGAAAAACTTTGTTCGTAAATTTTTAAAAAAATGATTCAACGATTAGCAAAAACAAATGCAGTTCACTATCCCGCGCTCATTCACCAGCCAAAAGACAGAAGAATCGAAAGTAGCTCCTTCGAGCACTTGGATCGGTGAGGTACAATGACTGCATGCTATAATTCCTTTTGGAAAATTTGCAAAAAACGCTGAAATCACTGAATCTGCCAGTCTACAACATGCTGCATGCAAAACTATTTCAAAAAAAAAACAATGGTCTACAATGGTATACCCAATGGCTTACCTTAACAGCAATTTCAAACGTGAGCCATCATCCTCGAGGCCAAGTGTGTCCGTGTCCGAAGCGTATGATGCAATCAGCTTGTCGTCGTCATCCAATTTGTACAAGACGTTTAAGATAGCTAGGAAGGTTGAACACAACATAGTACAGTCCTGAAGAAGTCTGTGAGCTCCATCAACGGCCACCGTGGCGGCAGTGTCTCTCAAAACGAGGCTGTTCAGTACCTGCAAAAAAAGATAATTGCTATGATTTTTTTCTCCACGCCAGACTGATCTGAAATTAGATAATGCAGAAGAAGAGGGAAGACCGAAGGCAGGTGAAATCGGCATAAATTTCTGAAAGCCAATGATTTTGCTGGAAATGGTCAAAATACCTTCGATTTGAAGCACAATGCATCTGCCAGAACACAAATACGACTGGAGAAAAAGAATTTTGCAGCAATATATCCATCCAAACTCACACATCCTGTCAATGCAGTCAGTGCTTTGCAATAGGTCCTACAAACAGCAATGTGAGTGGCTAGCGCATGGAAAAATACGGAAGTGGTATAAAGTGATATCTTTCATGTGGCCTACACATGTCAATTTAACAGAATCGAGAAGACCCCTCAAACACACGTATTCAATAACTAACGGACGATAAACTAAAGAAAAAATATGTACTGAAGTCCTCCACAACCCGTATATGTGGACTTAACGGTTAACATGGATTTGAACTGAATATACGAGCCAAGACGAGAGCGTAAACTTGATGGATTTTCAGAAACGAAAGGCAAGCATAAAGCTTGAAAAATATCATCCTATTTTTGAAGCTCGGCTACATGAACAGCAACGATTATGCCACCGAATAAGCACTGCTAAGCATGCAGTCTGAAGGTACCAATCAATTAGAAACACTGTCGGTATATAATTAACACTGAGAGCAACCAGATGAGCCAGTGCAATCATGCGTTTTTGCACTCTTTTGTATTAAAGTAAGATCGCTTGGAATCCCAGTAGCTAGAATTTGTGAAATACTGGTTCTCGAAGTTCAGGAAGTTAATTGCGCATCTACTCAGTGTGTCAGTTGCCGATGTCGGCTTTAGTGACCCAACAAAAAGAAAGTTGCTGATGCGCGAAAAAGACTTCATGAGGAGCACCAATCACTTCTTATAAGCACTGCTTTGATGCAGCAGGACCAAATATCGTTAGTATCATGCTATAACGCAAATTTGCATAATCATGGGAAGCTTACCCGTATGCATAGTATGATGAGCCTGAAACGAAATCTGCCCTGCTAACTGAACTGATAGCTGAAGTCAATCTAGTGTACCTGCGAGGAACTGGCAAGAATGAGAACTAGTACGTAAAGCTAGTTGGACCACAACGAGACAAGTAACCACTGCGCAAAAATTTAACAGCCCAGCAAATGTTCAAGAGGAAAAGACTGTTCATAGCAAGTAATATTTGACGTATTCAGGTGTGAAAAATGACCCGCAGATCCCAGTTTTATGCGTAAGAGTTCACTGTGAATAGCGGATATTTTCATAAAAGTACAGCTGCCCACACAGTCCAAACTGCAAATTAAATGGATACCAGCAGGGCTCCTATAGCAATTATTAGAACTCGTCTCGGCTCGGCCGCCATTGAGGAGCTCTAATTCGTCTGCTAATGCTATTTCGAGGTATCGTTTGCCGGCGTGGCTTGTCATGAAGCCAGCTACCCAGCGCTCAATAGCTATATCATGCGGCTGGAGGCGGTGGATAGAGGGCTAGCCCGTGGCTGAGGGGTGGTGGACAATGGGAAGTCATGTGCCGTTTCGAAGGCAGGAACTGGGGACAGGACAGAGGAAGGAAAAACTTTTACGCGCCCGTGCTTGAATACCATGCTTACCTAAATGCCGGATTTGAAATTTTGAAGTTCTACTTGGACGAAGAACACTCCATTAAAATTTCAGCTCCCCAGCTTTTCTGTTTCCCGAGTTGACATTTTTTCCCACTGGAACTTTCACATGCCCGTCTGTAACTGCCATGCGTACCTGGGGGATGAATTTGAAATACTCTTTAAGTTGTACGAAAGCAAGGAACATTTCCTTAAAATTTCAGATTTGCAGCTTTTCTGGTTCTTGATGTAGCAGTTTCCGTGTCAAAATTTTTGCATGTCCTTACGTGAGACTCCGGCATACTAGGGAACTGAATTTGAAATCTTTTGATTGTACGTGAACAGAGAATATTTCTTTAAAATTCTAGCTTTCTAGATTTTCTGGCTCCTAACTTACTAAATTCCACGTCAAAATTTTGACGCGTCCCTAAGTGAAACCAGGCCGGTTCCTAAGAGCTAGATTAGCCGTAGATGAACAATACTGTAAAGTTCCAGCTTTCTAGCTCTTCGCGTTCCTGAGTCAGCAGTTTTCCCACCAAAACTTTCACAT